TCAGTATCACTATCTGCTGTTTTCGAATAAAATGCACTTACATCACTTATATTTGCTGATGCTGTATACGATGTCTGCTGTTCATCGTTGATTTTCTTATTAGGACACTCTCGCGCCCAATGTCCTTTTTGTTTGCAAATTGCACACTTTGTTCTCTTCTTTAGCTCTTCAATATTCTTCTTCCCGTTGACTTTACCAGCTTTGGTTTTCGTCGCTGCGGGTGGTTTGCTGCTTGCGGCTGATTGGCTATTCACTTTTAATTTCAGAGCTTCTATTTGAAGTGCTAAAGACTCTGTATGATTTTCTGTTTCGCACAGACGCTTGTCCTCTCGTAGTAACCTTGCTACAAGATTGTCTTTTTTCTGCTGAGCTACTGGCGTACACTCCCACGCCATCCGAAACGGTGAAAATCTTTGCGGCAATCCATGTAAAAGTCGAATAATCATAGCTGCATCTGTTTGCGGCTCACCTACATCTGCAAGTTTCCTACAGATACATTCGAATTGCTCTAGCTGTAGAGCGATTGACTGTCCGTCCTTTATTCGGAAATCATAAAATTCTTGCAATGCATTGTCCCTTGCATTATGGCTGGATGCTCCGTACAATGCTTGTAGCTTCTCCCAAATTTCTCTGGGTGTTCTGCAATTTTGTACATTTGCATGAATGTGTTTTTCTACGGAGCTCAGTAAAATCACCGCAGCTTGCGATGATTTCTTCCTCCAGACGATCCAGTCTGCTTTATTTGAGACCTTTTCAGGCTCTGGTTCAGTTCCGTCAATGTATCCAGACAAGCCTTTAGCATCTAATAAAAATTCGATTCCGAATTTCCACATATTGTAGTTCTTCTCATTAAGCTTGGTGAGATCGAACGTTTCCTTATCATCCATGATTAGAAACAATGCTGCTAGCACTTACAATATAAAACTTAACCAAAGGCAATACTGTACACTCAACTAACCGGCGCGACACGTGGCACTGATTACGTAATATTTTATTTCTTAACAAAATTCACTGGCGCAGTGGAAGCGTGCTGGGCCCATAACCTGTAGAGACCGTACAATTCGAATTTAGAAGGAATTTATTTTAGAAATAAGTGTAATCTTTTCTACGTAACCCGCTTATGATTTTGCGACTGTTCGCATTAGATGTCGAAACCGAACTGGTAACCGTTTACTTTTCGCCTAACATAGGCACCTTTTTTTTTTTTCTCTCTGTTTCGGTCGCGTCCCTATTGTGACTGTTCCTACGTGATCCTATTTACAATCAAACTCACCTACAGAAGGGACATGAATATCCTATTTCAAATCCTATTTCAAATTACCTGATAAAGCTAATTCAACAATTCATTATTAGAATCGATGCTAGTCGCGTTAATTAATTTCTGTTGGGAATTTTTAAAAATTCAATGATGGAAGTCGTACGTCGTTGAATTTTACTGTACAATGGTACTAATTTTCTCACGACGATGGGGCAATAGAAAAAGGGCGTTATTAGCATTGGAACGGTGGAACGAGCCCGAGAACGGGGTGAGCAAGAAAAGGGTAGACCGGGTGGAAAAGTCGTCGCGGCGCCATATTAGAGAGGGTCGACCCGTTTCGAAACGAGCGCCGCGACGCCCAAGGAAGGAGAACTGACTTAATGAGCAACGCGACTCGTTCCCGTCTGGCTTTTTCTAACTTTTACCTAAGGCGAGGCCGGTTGCCAATCTTCACGCGTCACGCGATGTCACAAAAACAAACTACTCGGTTTATGTTTCATACCAGATCCTATTTATATTTATTTAATAATCATCGTCGCATTTTATTTTTTATTACGACGTAAAAGTGTGTAAAAATCCGGTCGCAAACGTTTGGTCTTGATGAAAAAAAACTAGAAGGCAACGCGCCGAGCAGCTTGCGAGACGAGTCGCAAAAAACGGCGCGAGAGACCGTCGAAAAACAAGACGGAAGAGCGAAAGAGAAGATGGAGGTAACAGAATGATAAATATCCCTTAAGAAGTTTTTCTCCGTCCAAGTGTGAACTCCCTCCGAGCATCGCAAGCTATAAATCGACGCTTCACGTGTTATTTTTTATGAGAAAATCTGAACGACGATTAGAAGAATAATGGCTGAATGAATGATCGAAACATTATGATTTATCGACGACGAGGAAAAGAGTAAACGTCTAAATAACGTTTGAGCAAAATTCGTTGAAGAGCTTTCACTCTGTTGTTTACTTTCAATCGGTCTGATGCCGGGGATCCAATTACAGGCGGGGCATCGTTGCATTCGATTAATTGCATGACGCTGCAGCTGCTCTTCTCCCCATTCTCCATCGCGATACATACATAAGTACATATAACGTTTCACGCTCCTAAATTTAGACAAAGCCTGTTCATCGTACGATCTCGCTCGCCCCGTTTATCAAACTCTCTTTCTTATTTCAAGAGAGATCCCACTGAATCAAGCGCCGGCCATTTTACTCAACGACAGTCCCGTTCTATCAATTTTATTGAGTAGACGAGTTTTTCTCTCTTCTGATTCCTTTCAAAGAAATTTGTTACAATCTTTCATTATTAACACTAGAAAGACTGAAACTTAGTATATACCTATATTGCCCAAAACAGTAAAAATGACTGCATTGTGAAAGAATAATGTGTAAAGAAATTTGTCTAAAATTAATTTTT